GTGCATGGGACCCCACGCCAGGCAGCCTATGAGGGTGTGGAGGCCCCAGTGCCACGGGCTTCCCTCCAGCTCTGAGCACATATCAGAACTCCTGACCGTGTCCCCATATCCCCACGCCGGCCTCCATGACCTGCCGGGCCGTGTGGCCGCAGGGCCTGGCAAGCAGTGGAGGGTCCTCGACGGGCCCCTGCTGGGACCTCAGATGCTTGGCAGCAGTGTAGGCCTGATGATGTCGGTTACGGCACAGGGCAGCTTAGCATCCTCCTGAGGCCCACGCAGCTCCAGCTCTGGATCCCTCCACAAGCAGAAGCGCCCCCCGGGGCACGCACATGCGGGTCAGGGAGGACTGGGCTGGAACCCACAGCCCCAGCAGCAAGCGTGTGTGTCACAGTTCCACCCGACAGGGCTGCAGAGGCCTAAACACGGGGTCGTCACAATTACCGTCACCACACCCTGTGGTGTCCGGGGGGTCAGAGGACAATTGTGATGGACACTGAAGAATACAGGGGCATGCTAGGGCTTCTTCACTCTCTATCTGGGCTCATCTGGAGTCAACTCAGCCTCCTCCCTGGAGCCCACCCCCTCTCGAGGGGATCCTGCCTAAACCCCCGCTGCAGGAGGCTGCCAGGCCCCATGTACACCCTGCCCAGGGCAGCAGAAGATGGAGACAATGTGCAGAAAGCAAGCAGTGTGGAAGGTGGAAGGCCAGCTGTGCCCAGCCGCCCTGAGGCCCCTGCAGTGACCGTGGTGGAGGTCTCGGGGCCACACTGCCCTAACTCTAGGTGCAGCAGGGACTCCAGAGGATGGGGTCCGTGTGGGCAAAGGGAAGGAACCTGCCACCTAAGCGGTGACTCATGTGGAAGGAGCTATAAACGCTACCCTCCCCACCAGGCTGGACCACTCGCTGGCCTGGCCTCATTAACCATGGGTGTGGAGCAGGCCTCCTGCCAAGACGAAGGCAGCGGACTTGATTAACAGTAACTAAAGTCTATCTTGGAAAGACACCTTATACAACACAATGAACATTCTATTTCCACAGGTTTGCATATTCATAAAATCTGGTTTTCCTGAAGACATGCAGTTCAAGCCACAAATTCCTAGTTTCTACTCAAAGTGACTCAGTGTTCTATGAAATACATCTGTTACATCTTTCAAAAGCCTATTTTAGATGAAGCGTCTGTGCCACAGACTCCTGCAGTTGTTTTCATCACATCTCACACCATCAGTAGCCCCCAGGGGCTACCAAGCACTCCCATCCCCACCCCGCCCACCCCGCTCAAGTGGCACCAGTCCCCAGCAAAGTCTCCCTTCGCCAGGGCATCACTGCGGTGCCAGGGGCCCAAACTCGGCTCCTGTGTCCACACCACACCAGCCGTGAGTGAACATGATTCACTAGCAACATTCCCATGAGATTCTCTATAAGAGAAAATGTAAAGCAAAACTAAAGGACATACGAATTTTAAAAGTCGGTTACACAGAGGACCATGAATGCATGTTACAGGCGTTGCACTGGGCCCTGCTGTGCACAATATGGCACACTGGAGGCACTGAGGCACTTCTCTCAGGTCGAAGTCCACCCCAGGCCATGCCGCTCAGAAGGCTGAGCCTTTCAATTGCACTTCCAACCCTGGCATGGCCCATGGGCAGGCCCATCCCTGGTCTGCCCTGTCACGCTGTAACTGAGTTGAGAGCCAAGGTATTCCCTCTTAAAAAATCTGTCCTTAATGGAGTTATTCACTATAGGGAGAATTGTGATCTGTGATCTTAAAAAAAAAAAATCCGAAGACAAATTATTAAGAAATCACAACTCACAGTGGAGAAAAGACAGAAGACTTTCATGTGAGAAAATAAAAATGAGACTCCATAACTTCACTTGAAAATTCTAGATGGGTTAATATTTTAAACGTCTATAGAAGGTAAATATACAGGGACAGAAATAACTAAACCAGAAAAGGAAAAACCCCAGCAAAATAAAGTTCACAGAATCGACTAGGCAAAAACTTGCAGTTTCTGAACACTTTCTCCCAAACAGGTGTTTCATATTTTCCAGACTGTGTTTTGAATGGAAATAAAAGCACAATAGACTTAAAATCAGCAAAAATGAAGACTGTTTTATACATTGAACTCAGAAGTCATTTTAAAAACTCACATTTGTGAAAAAGGCTGTAAAGAAAAATTCAGACATGCAACTCACAAAGAGAATGGGAAGAAAAACGATTAAAGTTAGGTATCTCGGGGAGCCCTGGTGGCGCAGCGGTTTAGCGCCGCCTGCAGCCCAGGGCGTGATCCTGGAGACCCGGGATCGAGTCCCGTGTTGGGCTCCCTGCATGGAGCCTGCTTCTCCCTCTGCCTGTGTCTCTGCCTGTGTGTGTGTCTATGAATGAATAAATAAAATCTATAAAAAAAAAAAAAACAAAAAAACTAGGTATCTGGGGATACCCGGGTGGCTCCATGGAGGAGCATCTGCCTTTAGCTCAGGGTCTGAACCCGGGGTCCCGAGATGCAGTCCCACATCAGGCTCACTGCAGGGAGCCTGCTTCTCCCTCTGCCTGTCTCTGTCTCTCTCTGTCTCTCATGAACAAATAAAATCTTTTAAAAAATTAAGTATCTGTTAATAAACAGGAAAACTCTAAAAGCTACTATTTCTAGAAGGACTAAAATAAAACAGGTAAGCACTCACGGGGAAAAAAAAGTCAGCTCAAGTGGACCACCCCTCCCTAGCCTCAATGGGATGGACATGTTCAATGCAAACACAACTCACTCAACCGACAAGGAGAAAAACAAACCAAACAGCGGAAAATTTTCAAGACCTCAGTAACTGGAAAACGTGCCAGGACCAGAGGACTTGACAGGCAAGGCACTGATTCTCGTGGGGACAGAAGAGCACAGACTGCTTCTCAGTGAAACAAAGATCCAGGCCACACTGTCCTGCACACGCTGGACCCCGGGGACTTCAAGTCACAGAATCCTGCATCAGCAGCCAGCTTTCTCCTTCAACAGGATGGAACAGCAGCACATAACCCCACAAAGCCAACCACTAAAACCAGCCTACTGGGAACAAGACGAACCACCCCTGTCAGTATTCATAATTAAATAAGACAAAATGGGGGGACAGGGGCTAAGAGAAAACTAGTAGGGCTTTCTATCTATAAAAAATAGGTACTTTTAAAAAAAGAGTAAGCTAATGGATGCCTGGGCGGCTCAGTCGGTGAAGCATCCGACTCTTGGTTTCAGTCCAGGTCATGATCTCCGGGTGGTGGGGTTGAGCCCGTTGTTTGGCTCGGCACTGAGCATGGAGGCAACTTGAGAGGGCCTCTCCCTCTGCCTTTCTCCCACCTCTAAAATAGAATAACCCAAGAGTACAGTGAAGCGACTAGATGAAAGGCAATATAAGAACTTACTTTCTCAAAGACAACAACCAATTAGGAAAGGATGGGGAGGAGCTGGCGTTGACTGCCTTTCACCCAAGACAGGTTGGAGGAGGAGCTGCCCTTGCCGGTAACCACGACAACCGATACAGGGTACTCCAGGCATAAAATACCAGGAGGAGAGAGGAATCCCATAACAGCCACTCATCTAACAGGAATGCACAAGAGCAGAATACGGAAAGAAACCTGGGGAAAGGGGGTCCCCGGGTGGTTCAGTGGTTTGGCGCCTGCCTTTGGTCCAGGGCATGATCCTGGAGTCCCGGGATCAAGTCCCACATCGGGCTCCCTGCATGGAGCCTGCTTCTTCCTCTGCCCCTCTGTGTGTGTGTGTGTCTCTTGTGAATAAATAAAATCTTTTTTTTAAAAAAAAAAAGAAAGAAACCTGGGGCAAAGTCCACGTAAACTAAAAGAGCAGAAATATGTGTGAAAGCACAAGAAACAACAGAAAACCGTGCTGTTAAACCGAGGCCAAAACAGAAACACCTTTCTGGGGAAGAACGAAGTGACTACACAGTAAGGCCGATGAACCACAGGCCCTGCAAGGAACCATCCCCTCAACGGAGCAGGCCAAGGACGAAGCAAGCACCACAACGGGAACCTCCAGAACCCCCCCACCTGGAAGAGCACACCTTATACTCCAGCCAATTAACTGAAGAAATGCACATTTCAGAAATCATTAACAGTCTTTATAGGTTATGTGAGGAAGCCACTGACGACGGAAAAGTGGTCTCTGTGTAAAGTGATGCCATTTTTCATGCACACATTTCAACCCAAATATTCAACTTCTAGAAACCTAATTTAGTGTAACTACTCCTAGTGGAACAGTTTGGATTAAGAACCGCAAACCTTATGGGGAGAAAATACAGCAACATTCTGCTGGGGTTCACAAGACAATCAGGCCAAGACCACAAGGGGCTCAAGAGGCACACCAGCACATACCACGCGTAGGCTCAGCTGTCCAACCCCTGCTGGACAGAGGACCAACCCCTGCTGGAACGTTTCCTCACGTCTTCCCAATGCCCTCAAACACATGATTGCAGCTCAACAGACTTTGCATGGACCCTTCAAGTGGTCCACGGGACACGGATGAGAGAAGAGACACGGAGAGATGGTGGACAGCACACACTGAGACCACTGCTCATTCTCTTCCAGCTTTGGATTTAATGTTATCAGTGCCCTGGCAACCTATCAAGCAACCCCTAAGTCTCAGATAAGAGGTCATCTGCTCAGGCTTGGGGTTGATGAGCAGCCACGTTCCTAACCTAGGGGTGGGCACAGTGGCTCGGCAGCCTGTCTTCACGAGGCCCTCAGCACGTCCTCCCTGCCACCTCAATGCCAAAGAGGGTCAAGTATGCCACAGGGGCAGTTGGAGGAGATGTTGACTGAACACCTTTGTTCTGGTGGTTCCAATTTCTCTAGTATCTTTGTTAACATATGTAAGTATATGGTGCATATAACATTGTGTATTCGTAACATTCAGGATGCAACAACCGATTGATACTGGAAAATACTAGTACTTAGTACCTTCTTCAGGGAAATTTATCTCTGAATGATAGGCTATAAAGTCACTAGATGCTCACTTCGGCAGCACACAGACTAACACTGGAATGACACAGAGAAGATTAACATGGCCCCTGCTCAAGGAGGACACGCAGATTCGTAAAGTGCTCCGTAGTTCAATGAACCCAAGGGAAAGGAAGGAAAAATAAGACAAAAACAGAAAAAGACAAACTATAAGAGATTCTTAACTCTAGGAAACTGAGGGTTGTTGGGGGGGGGGGGGAGTAACTGGGTGATGCGATGAACACTGGGTGTTATATGCAACTGAAGAATCACTCAACTCTACCCCTGAAACTAATACTATATGTAACTACCTTGAATTCAAATAACTAAAAATGGGAAGGAAAAAAAAAAAGAGGTGCATGGGTGCTTCAGTTGACTGCTTTCAGCTCAGGTCCTGATCTCCTGGTCCTGGGATCGAGTCCAGTATCCGGCTCCCTGCTCAGCAGGGGGTTGGGGGGGGCCTGCTTTTCCCTCTCCCTCTGTGCTCACTTCTCACTCTCAAACAAATTTTAAAAAAATAAAAACGAATTAAAAAAAAAAAAAGAACTGTTTAGGAAAGAAACACAACTATGACTTAGCACATATGTTGAGAATTCTATACATACAGGAATATTAGTGTACTAATACTCAAAACCATCATTAACTCTATTATTATGAAAAACAAAATGGGGAAAATCCCTGAGAAGCCTCACACAGGCTTTAGACTCCCCAAGTACTATGTAACCAAGTGCTTGTCTGGGGATGGCAGAAGGACAGTGCCAGGAGCCATCTGCTTAGGCTGTCATTCCCGCCAACATGTCCGGCAGCCTCCATTAAAGACAGAAATCTAACCAATATCCTATGATCCACCCAGAGCTGCCAAAGCAGCTGGTGCACTCAGTTGTGTCTATGGGCTGGGGGGGGGGGGGGGGGAGACAAGGGTGCAGAGCAGAGGGTCATGCCCCAGGGTTAGCAAGTAAGGTGGTCTTCCCAAAGCAGGAGAAAGGAACCAAGCAGACTCTGCAACATCACTCCAGCTCAAAGGGCCTTTGGCAAGGCTCCCTGCCACCTGCTAGGAAAGGCCTGTGTTCTCCACGTTCTATCTTTGTGTGGACTGCTTTCAGTATCAGGATGCAGACTCCAGTGGTCAGCCAAAGAGGAGGGTGGGGTGGTGAGATGGAGCATGACGGCAAGACCCACTCTCCTGACACACATCAAGCCCGTCTGTAATAAACTGCAGTTTACTAGATAAGGAAACTCAATGTTTACTATTCAGGGGTCCACACAGCAAAGAAATATCATAAACCAAGATGCACCCCAAGCCCTACCAAACCAGACCTGGTCATTCCTTGGCATGAAGGACCAAGGGACGATGCTCCCCAGGTCAAAAAGGAGGAACGGAGAGGGACAGCAACCCCACGTCAGGCTCAGGAAGCAGTGCCCCCAAGGGCCGCGATTCTCGTGGCGGTTGCACTGTGTTCCAACAGCAGGAAAGGATCAAGAGTGCAGTTGGGGTTCCCCAATAAATGAGTCACCCACCCAGGTAGTCTGAGATTGCCTAACACAAGGGCAAGAAGACGGTATGTGCCACCCAAGGGCGAAGAGCGAGCTGATGGGCCTCTTGGTAGACATCCGCTTCTCCCTAACAAGCGGAACTCCAAAGTCCCAGCTAGTTTTGGTCTCTGGAAATCAGTGATCACTGTGACTTCCAGATTTGATTATACTGTTAAAAAACTGTTTAAAAAAAAAAAAAAGAACTTGTAATTTTCCCTCCCCTGACCCTCTCAAATCTCAAGATGTAGTAACTGAGCCAAAAAAAAGTATCTGGTCTATAGCAGCCCCAACTGTTAGTCATACTCGAGAGGCAAGGTTTACATCTAATTAATGAAACTCACAACTCAACTCACCACTGATGAAGCAAGAACAGAAAGTCATCCACGTGACCAGACTGGAAAAAGGATCGAAAACCAAAGTGAAGCATTATTACATTGAATATAAGGACACAGGAAATGTTGGAGAATAATTTAAGCCAGTGTTTCTTTAAGGACCTGCATCATTTAATCACCCAATGTGCAAGTACTGACCACCTCAAAAACACCTAAGATGTAACAGAATCACGTATCTGCATTTTTTTTAATATAAGCCATTGAGATCATATATAGGTCAACCCCTCTTGACCACACAGTATCAAGTGTTCAAATTTACTAAGCTATTCTGTGCTTGAATACCTCCAGAGATGGTAACAACTACCTCCACCCTGTTACTGAGCGTGCGGATGGCTAACTTTTGTCACTACTGAGAAGCAACAGCAGAGACAATAAAACCAATTGTAAATTACTGGATTCTCTTAAAATAAAAGCATATTCAGTAACTTAAGTAATGCTTCAAAGAAAAACAAGAATAGCAGTCCCTGAAGAAGGTAGTGATAGCTAGTAGGTAGGTCATCAAGGAGCAATTTAAAATGTTTAGAAGATAATAAACAGAAATGACAATTGATTGGAAACATGCTATCCCCCCCCCAAGCTTTGCCATTCTGTATGGAACAGACTTCAACAGACTAGGTACACAAATTCTAAGAGTAACTTTAGTAAAATCTAAAGCTAACTCTATAGAGTTAGAGCCTGGGTGGCTCAGTGGTTGAATGTCTGCCTTTGGCTCTGGGTGTGATCTCAAAGGTCCTAGGATCGGATCCAACATTGGGCTCCCCACAGGGAGCCGCATTCTCCCTCTGCGGGTCTCTCATGAGTCAATGAATAAAATCTTAAAAAAAAAAAAAAAAAAAAGCTAACTCTACAAACTTCCACAATCTATCCTTGAAAGAACGGAGGGGAGGGAGGGGAGGGGAGGGGAGGGGAGGGGAGGGGAGGGGAGGGGAGAGGGAGAGGGAGAGGGAGAGGGAGAGGGAGAGGGAGAGGGAGAGGGAGAGGGAGAGGGAGAGGGAGAGGGAGAGGGAGAGGGAGAGGGAGAGGGAGAGGGAGAGAAAGAGAGGGAGGGAGGGAGGGAGGGAGGGAGGGAGGGAGGGAGGGAGGGAGAGAGAGAGAGAGAGAGAGAGAGAGAGAGAGAGAGAGAGAGAGAGAGAAAGAGAGAAAGAGAGAAAGAGAGAAAGAGAGAAAGAGAGAAAGAGAGAAAGAGAGAAAGAGAGAAAGAGAGAAAGAGAGAAAGAGAGAAAGAGAGAAAGAGAGAAAGAGAGAAAGAGAGAAAGAGAGAAAGAGAGAAAGAGAGAAAGAGAGAAAGAGAGAAAGAGAGAAAGAGAGAAAGAGAGAAAGAGAGAAAGAAAGAAAGAAAGAAAGAAAGAAAGAAAGAAAGAAAGAAAGAAAGAAAGAAAGAAAGAACACACAAATCAACACTGCATTATAAAGTTACTGGGTTTTCCAAACTCACATCTGGGTCCTCTGGGGCTGTAAAGGGCAGGAACAGGAGGCAAAATCCATCTGAACTCAATCAAACCAACAGAGGAAATACAGCAGCCTTGACATGCCCTTGAGGGCATGTCTTTGCTTTGGAGAATTAAAACCAAAGATGTCAGATGTCCCATCTTCAAAGACTCTAAGGATTCCTGTCCCCCCCAAAACATGAAGTACACACAAAACAGGACATAGATCATGTGAAACAGACTGTGCACACTGGATGCAGGCCCTTCAAGGCAGGCACTCCGCCCTCCTGTTTACAGAGGCATCCAAGACTCCAGAAACACAAAGAAGTGCAGAGACCAGCATGTGACCAAAACCAGCAAAATGTGCATCACAAGCTCTTCTTGAGCATCATTCCTCATTTGAGTGATGTTGCTGATTGATGCTGGGAAGATGCCTCATGGCTCCAGGTGACTACCTTAAATACCTCAGCAACAGCCAAGTTCTTCACCCTATCCACAAATTTGTAAAATGAACACTCACAGCAACAACACAAGTGCAAAACAAAGGTGATGTTCTCAAATGCCAATGAACAACATTTGACTGGGATGCTCCCCACAAAGAAATTTCAGCAGAAAGCCCCTTTGGAAGCCAGGAACCTTGTGTCTGTACCATTCATAGTGAGGGAAAAGGTGCACCCAACAGTCTCCAGTACCCCCCCCCCCCCCGGCCCCAGAGGCTGACAGTGGCAAACCACAGTCCCAGTGCAATGCCTCCCAGGAAGCTCTACTGGAGGATTAGACAAGACTTCTCATCAAGCACCTGGTGTCCCTACAGGACCATCAACCTGCTCCACCCCACAACCCTTTAATGACAACTATAAAATTCCACATCTGTTTAGTTCCAAATACTTACTGCAGTTTCTCAATGACAGAGAGACCAAAAGCATAAACAGAAATAAGCTTTCAAATATCAGAATTTCAGTTTGTAAACTTCCATTTTACAGGGGCCCTTTCTGTGTGACATACCTCCATGCCTCTCTTATCTAGAGGTGGAGAGCTAGGACAGCACACTATACCTTTCATGGGTTCCCTTAGTACAACTGTCTTCGAGAACTTATACTTAATTCTGTAGTTCTTTCTTTAGAATAAATTTCTATGAATCTTCTAAAATATTATTTGTTGTCAACAAAAATACATTTGATTCTGTAAAGACTGTATGGTATTTGGGCAATTTCCATATGCCTTCCGATTGGGCCCAGAGAGAAATATGTCTGTCGTGAAGGAACCACCCTTGCTCCTGTCCTTCTGGCAGGACCATACTGCTTACCCAAAACAAAGCTAAGTACGGTTGTTCAAATGCAACTCAAGTCCAGTTTAACATTCCTCTGGCTGGAATTCTAGTTGTCAATGGTTGGCTATGACAGATTTTACACGTTGAAAAACAAAGAAGACCTTTATTTTTGTTCACATCTATGTCACCCCATTACTTTGCCACATGTATCACATTTTTAAATGAGCCAGCATCAAACTTACCCTAGAAAACTAGAAACTACTTGGAAGGAATGAAAAAGTTATATAGCTATTTCTTCCTTCCCCATAAAAATATTACCATAGGAGAAGCTTCAATAAATTGCTAATCATTATATAACATAAATAGAAAAATCTTCATAAACCCTCCAAATATACTGAGGAAAAGAAATGCATGTAACTTTGTATTGGCATCCACCTTGAGAAACAGAAATAACAGTAATGAAGTGACACTGGAAGCCCAGGCACAAAATCATA